GTTTCCATCCGCGCCTTCGCTACCTCAGCCAAGGTGCCGTTTCCCGGCAGTTTAGCGGCCATGAGTTACGGTCGCCCGCCGCCGGACGTAGAAGATATGACATCGCTTAAAGTGGATAACCTGACTTACCGCACCACTCCGGAGACCCTGAGGCGTGTGTTCGAGAAATATGGCCGAGTAGGCGATGTTTACATCCCCCGCGACCGCTACACCAAGGAGAGCCGTGGATTCGCCTTTGTCCGCTTCCACGACAAGAGGGATGCGGAAGACGCGATGGACGCCATGGACGGGGCGGTGCTGGACGGCCGGGAGCTCCGGGTGCAGATGGCGCGATATGGCCGGCCTCCGGATTCCCACCATGGTCGCCGGGGACCCCCGCCGAGGAGGTACGGGGACAACGAGCGCCGGAGTAGGAGGTGAGTGCCCGCCTGCCGGATGTTCCCTCCAGCCGATTAGCCATGGCTGTATAGGGAAGGTCCGCAGCGCCCCATATGTAGAGGGCTGAGCCTTGTGCTGCTGGCCGGGCTCTCTGCTTCCTCCTTCAGTGGCCCATGTGAACAAAATGGCGCCGCCTGCATGTGCTCCGAGTTCTATAACTACATAGGGGCCAATGTGTTCTATAACTACATGGAAGCCAATGTGCTCTTTGTGTTCTATAACTACATGGGAGCCAATATGTTTTGTAACTGCATGGGAGCCTATGCGCTCTGTGTTCTATAACTGAATGGGGGCCGATGTGCTCTGTCTTATAACTGAATGGGGGCCGATGTGCTCTGTCTTATAACTGAATGGGGGCCAATTTTCTTTTTTTTAACTACACTGTAGACAATAGGGGGGATTTATCAAAACTGGAGCAGATGCCCATGGCAGCCAATCAGCATCTGCATTTCATTTTCAAACCTTAACTGAAGAGAGAAGCTGATTGGTTGCCATGTACAGCTGCTCCAGTTTGGTAAATTCCCCCCCATGTGGTTTTTTATAACTGCATGGGAGCCAATGTGTGCTGTGTGCATCAGGACTGCATGGGGGCTAATGTGTGCTGGGTGGAAGCCAATGTGTGCTGGGTGCATCAGGACTGGGTGGGAGCCAATGTGTGCATCAGGACTGGGTGGGAGCCCACGTGCTGTGTGTGGGGACTGGGTGGGAGCCCACGTGCTGTGTGTGGGGACGGCACGGGAGCCCATGTGCGTGTGTGGGGACTGCACGGGAGCCCATGTGCTCTGACTGGATGGAGCTATCATTCTAGTATATGGAACTGTAGACTGAGGTGGTGTTGCTGGTCATTCTCTGTCACCAGTGTTTTAGACAATGGAGTTTCTAGGAGATGAGTGTTTCCAGACGCTTCCATTGTAGTGTGTGTGGCCTGTGATGGACTACAATCTCACATTTTAGTTTGCTGTACATCCAGTCAGATGCAGTCACTGTTCGGGTATTCATACAGGTGCCAGCTGTCGGAATACAATAGCAGGAAGGGGATATTCCTTGATCCGTGCTGTTTAAGCTGGTTGTGGGAATGACCGTTTGAACGAGGGAAGCTAGGTGTGTAGGGCCAGTGTTTGGGACCCATTCATTAAGCATCAGTATGGCCTCAAATCTCTGGTGTGTAACCTGCATCTCTTTGGCACTTGTGCTGCTCTGGGACAATAGACTGTATTGGGTCTTAGGCCAGTGAAGGAAAGTGTTTTAGACTTGCTGCTAGAGGTTACATAGTGTGTTGGGTTTTTTCAGTCACATTTCATTTTTATTTTTTTGTGCTTTCATCTCATGTTTTTCCTCTGATCTTTTAAGATGGCTCCTGCAGAGAGGAATATCAGATGTGGCACACGTCACTTTCAAGAGGCTGTAGGAAGCGCAAATGTGTGCCGTTGATTTTTATTTTTTTAAAGGGGCTGTAATAGCGTAGATCTCTGGCAGTCTCCTAACCTTCCTCTATTCCATAACACTCCTGAAACATGTCTGCAGTCTGACCATTTCCTAGAGCAAACCCATAGTCCTGGTCTTTGCCCATCCTCTATTGTTGAGAGCCTTCTGTAACATTACATTCACTGATTGTTGTGGGCCCTTGATCTTAAGTTCATGCCGCTATGTATGTAATCCCTAACAACAACTTATTTGGTCCCCTTTTGTCGGTTAAATTAATGTGTAGAGGCACATTTATAAAGTGTGAGGATGTTTTACAAAGCAGTGGATTCAGAGCACCCCAACATTTTGGTCTTTTGCCCTTTTGTATAGCAAAAAAACAGGGTTATAAAATGCCACAAAAGGAAATCTACCACCATTTTATTCTATAGGGTCTTGGCATTCAGAAATTATAAAATGTTGGGGGGTTTTACGTCATTTTCAGGCCTAAAATGTGGAATATAACATGGGTGCAAAAATTGAAAAAAGGGCCTCAGTCATGAAGGGGTTAATCTGCCTCAAAAAGGCATTCAATTGTACAAAAATGAAGAGTAATTGTCAAACTATCACAGCAATGAAAACTGAATAATGGTCTGGTAAAGGGCTAAATACAGACCAGTACGGAAGTGGTTAATGAATGGGAATAAAAGTGCAGGTTGAGACCCTGATCACACGACCTGTCAGTCATATGACCCTCCTTCCCCCAGAGTTCTCTGCAGCACTATGCAGAGGACATTTTGTAGGATATTCACACTGCAGCCTGTATTTTATGAATGACTTGTGACATGCGGTCATGGTGTGGAATAAGTGCTCCTTAGGGGCTCTGTGGTAAAGTAAACTTGTCACTTTGACTGATAAAGATGTGTATATAGGTTGACTTTTACAGTTTTGAACTGATTCATGGACTTGTTACAGAGGGCCACAGTATACATAAAACCATTTGTCAGCCCTGGTGTTCTGCTCTCCTGGATCTGTTGCCAATACTGACCCTTCACAAAGTCGGTCTTGGCATCAGAAATGCCCCCACCCATATCTGATGGCACAGATTTCTGAACATTAGTCACACCTTCACATTCCTCTTTCACCCTATGGAAAGTGAAAGTAGTTTTGCCTATTGTCTGTCTACACTTGCTAATGTGCAGATTAAGTTGAATGAGTGATTCCCCACCAGTAAATGTTTGGTGAGAAGTCATTCACTGCCCTGCAGTGTTTAATATATTTTCCTTATTCCTGTTCAGGGTCAGACCGGGCTGTAGTTGGGCTGTTATCAGATTGCGGTCACTACCCCAGAGACAACATCAGGATCATGTATGCAGAGGCAGCAAGTCATTGGCTGTGCCTTACGACATAAAACATGCAGTACATATGTGCGATGCGTGCACATTTCCCCATGTCTTATCTCTTTTAAAGACACTGCATGTAGTGAATGATACTTGATCTGGCAGACATGCATCAGTTGTCAGCCCTGCCCAATATCTTGCTCAACAACTCGGCCCCCTGCCCCCCACACACTCAGATCTCTACAACACAAAGACTACTAATATTGTAGTCCAAGATGAGACAACACGAAGTGTGCAGAGGACAGCTCTGAATTTCCATCAGGTTCAATATTTTTTTTGACATGTATCATACATATGCTTCCAGTGGTACAAATAAGTTAATTGTTTGGGTTTACATACACTACAAGATGCTCTGATTGGTGCTCAGGTGACACTGGTTTGTGCTCAAAGGTTAAATTTTGTACTCTTCGGACCACACTGTATTAACTTTGCCTACCTGTTCCTGTTCAGTAGGTTTCTTAGCATGTTAAACATTCATTCAGGGCTGTACATATCCCAGGTAGCCAGTGATTGCTAAAAATGACAGCTGGCACCTAACATTTAAAGGATTTTTAGTTGTCAATGTAGCTGGCTCCTCAAAAAAAAGGGTGCTGGATTCCATATGAATTTTCCCACCCCTGCATTATTGAAGGGATGGCTAGACTAGGGTAGCAGTTGTTATGCTGGTAAAATGTTAATTTGAAGTGTGTGGAATTTCAGGCCATATTTGTTTTACTGCTTTTAGGATAAACACTGGATGGAAATTTGTCATGGTGAAAGCGTTTTTGAATGTGGTTTGAGTGTTTCTAATGGCAAGGGTTGTCATGGGACTGCAGGGTCACTAAACGGGGAATTGTGGGATTGTTAAATGAGCATCCACATTGGGTCTAGTTTCATCATTCATATATTTTTGCTTTCAGCCCAAGAAGACGACGCTATAGCAGGTCCAGAAGCAAGAGTCGGTCCAGGTCACGCAGCCGGTCCCGTTACAGCCGATCAAAGTCTCGTTCGCGAACCAGATCCCGATCTCACTCTAGTTCTAAATCCCGTTCTGCTCGGAGGTCAAAGTCCAAGTCCTCCTCTGTGTCCAGATCTCGCTCCAGGTCTAGATCAAAGCTTTCTCCTCCACCAAAGAACTCAAAATCTAGATCCAGGTCCCCATCACCTCCAAAGTCTCCTGAGGAGGAAGGAGCAGTGTCATCCTAGACTAAGGTAATGCTTTCCTTTTAAGTAGGTGCTCAGAAAACATTTTATTGGGGTTTTAATAAAGACCGTTTAGCTCAGCATATAAAAGATCATGTACTTGTTCTCGTGCTCTTATCACACACATGTTGCAGAGCAAGGTTTGTATATGTCTTATTTTTGATGCAGTTTAGGTTTGCTGGGAATTGTGGGATTTTTAATTGTTGTGTTTGGGGTGTCATTTGATGACTGTTTAAACCAGTATCTGCATTTTCCCCTAAAGCTGCGGGCTCCAGTTGCTTAAGGAGTAGTGAGCTGTATTGCAGATATTAAGTGGTTTTTCCTGATCCTCCAGGGAGCAGTTTCTGTGGGCGTGTAATGGAGCAGGTTTGTGTCTGTTGTTAAAGATGCACTATCCTGGATTCTGTCAGACTTGCTGGTAAATTTCTGTCTGCTACTTTCCATACATTAGGGCCAAAAGAAAGGCTGCCTTTATTCTTGGGGGGGCCTATTTATAAAGGGGCGAATGTGAACTTTCATTCTATGGGGTGAATTTACTAAGACTGGAGCAGAAGAATCTGGAGCAGTTGCCCATGGCAACCAATCAGCATCTCTCTCCAGTTTGTTCAGTTAAGCTTTGAAAATGAAAGAGAGAAGCTGATTGGTTATGAGCAACTGCTTAAGAGTCCCTCTGGTCCAGTTTTGATAATTCCCCTCTGTGTTTTGCTCCTGGGAGTGCCCAGTTGGCATTCTAACTGTTTTCTCTCAGTTGAATTTCTGTCCATTGGAACTTAAATAGTTGCCTGGACTAGGAGATCTGCTCCACAGCCAGACCTCCTTCCTATTAGGTTCACGGAGTAAATCTACCTCACATTCGCTGGTTTATAAACATCGGGGATGTTACCAATAGATCTGGGCAAATTCAGGCTGCATAATCTTCCTGTACTTGTCCAGACTTTTATAAATAGCCCCCCTAAGCAGCTAAAAGGATCACAGTACTTTGCAGAAATACAGAACACTTTGTAGTCATAGATACTTTCTTAACCCATGCATATTGTAATATAGAATGGAGGGTATTTATCAAAACTGGTGCAGTTGCCCATGGCAACCAATCAGCATCTCTCTTCAGTTTGCTCAGGTAAGATTTGAAAATGACAGACAGACAAGCTGATTGGCTGCAGTGCAAATCTGCTCCACATTTTGTCTGCTCCAGTTTTGATAAATTCCCCCCTATGTTTTTAAGCTCCACTGTTAGATCTTACATAAAAGTTTAGACTGACTTTTACTGAAATCGCACTCATAGGGTTACCTCTCCAAGGATAGTGTGTCTTTAGTACATTAACTGTTTGGTCTTTTCAGCTGTAACACAAGTTTTTACTTAGTCCCATTAAAGCCCTCAATACACATGCACAAACTTTCATATGAAGATGTCACTGCAGATACTCATTTGCCTCATCACAATATAAGCTGATCACATCCTGGTGGTAAACACTTGTGTGTTTTTCCCCAAAGTCAACATAAGTGCCCCTGAATGATATCCCCTTTGTGTGTTTTAGTTTGCTGTTGAATGGAATCCTTATTGTCTTCTATTCTCTGCCACCAGTGTCAACCTAAAGAATGCTACACACCGGATTTGTCTAGGATGATCACTCAGTAGCTCAGCAGCCCTTGTGAATTCCCCCGGAGAAAGCAACAGCCTTCCCGAAAAGGTGGTTATTTGTATTTTTTTGTTTTAAGTTTTATCAATTTCACTTGCGCCTTGTGTGGCAGACTTTATATTTTATGTGCCATTTGTTGCTGTACTCAAATTCCTTGTAACTTAGTTAACAAAGTTGATTGTTTTGCTTTAAAAAAAAGAGAGATAAATTAAGGTAACTTGTTAATAAAGGGTATCTTCCGACTCCATTGGGGTTGCTAGGTGGTATTTTGACAGTTTTACTGAACTGTGCTTGGACTTAAAGCATCAGTAATCACTTAATTCCCAATCTGAAATGTTTCCTCTATGTAATTGCATTTTAATAGTTAATGCCTGAAAGCTATTGTATTTTGTATCAAATATTCATGTAACAATGTTTGCAAGGGAGTATTTTTATTTGACCACAACTCTAATCTTTTCTCTTGTGTATTTTTTGTGCACTAGGCGCAGTTGTGTAGCAGTTGAGTAATGCTGGTTAGCTGTTAAGGTGGCGTGTTGCAGTGCAGAGTGCTTGGCTGTTTCCTGTTTTCTCCCGATTGCTCCTGTGTAACGCAGAAAACAAATGGCTGTCCAGTTTGTTAGAATTCCTGACAACTGCACGTCCTGTCGCCCGGGCCATACATAAAATATTGGAGCATACAGTGAGCACCTCTGATGATGTACACCTTATTTTTCAGAAAATGGTAATTCCAAACATTACTGTAAATTCATGCAAGTGTTTGTATCGATTTGAGTATATCTTGCTCTAACATTCTGTAATATAACCACTGTTTATGTAGCAAATAAACTTGTTTAAAAAAAAAAAGACTTGACTTTATTTGCAATCGATTTATTGTGGAGTATAAATATACAGTCATCTCTTGGTTGAATGTATAACTATTGCCAGAAGCGTGTGGTAAGTTCAAACGGAGAGCATTTTAAAGCGTACCTTTACCCCCTTTCACTAAAAATCACATCAGCATGGAGCTCTGCATTCGGATATGAAATCATCTCGCATTCATTGGTTAAACTTATTTTTCTTACAATTCGTTTTTCCACTTCCTGGTCCTCATGGGCATTACTGATGTAATCTGTGCCCAAGCATTGCATCCCGGGAAGGTTACATCAGCAGGGCATTGATGGGAAATCTCAGGGGAAGGCTTTTTCCTCCCAAGATGATGTGCATGGTTGCGTGTCCTAGTCAGCCAGAGTTCCAGGAGGTAAAGGGATGCATTAGCCTGCCCTTAGTAAAAATGGCCACTGTGAAAAGATAAATAAAGGTGGCCATACACTTTACAACCCTTGCAAGACTTTTGTCTTGCAAGGGTTGTAATTTAAAAAAAACGTAAGATCTGCCCATCTTGGACAGGCATATCGTACTTACGATCATCGCGAGCCCGTCCACCTGAGGGGCGGGCTACCGATGACTGCAATGTTGAACGGGCAGTGTACGCGTGCGCACACCGGCCCGTTCGGCAGTTATCTCTCGATCATGCTAAAAACCAGCCGAAAATGGTACCATTCTCTGGTTTTCCAACATGCTCGAAATCCAAAAGTTGTGCGACCGTACAGTAGGAACGGTCGCTCGCCCTCCATAGACTGTACGATTGCGGGATTTCCCTTGATTCTCGTACAATAATCGTGAAGTGTATGGGCACCTTAAGGTATGCAAAGAATAAAAAGGTGGCAATTATCTGTTCAGTAGATGGTCCCATAAAACTTGGTGGGAAGGTGCTATGCACTGAAAATCTGCAGCAGGTTGTAAAGAAACCTTGGATCCTGCAGACATGATTGTAAGGTAAGTATGTATTGCGGGGTGGGGGGGCAAAGAATTGCCCAATTTGTGGTTTCTTGGTGTGGTTATACATGGTTTAATTCTACAGCTGGACTGGGGGGACACACATTGAAAGGTGCCCATACACCTTACAATTATCTGCAGATTCTCTGTGGTCAGATGGAAAAAGTGCAACAGATTGGTCCAGGTGGAGATTACTCCAGCCACACAGTAAAGTGTAGATGGAGAAATCTGTTGCACCTTTTCCATCTGACCACAGAAACTCTGCAGATAAATTGTAAGGTGTATGGCCAGCTTTACACTTTACTATTTGAGTATGGGGGAAGAGTTCTACTTTCTTTGTTCTCTTGCTCCAGCATGTTTGGTGAAGGGGAAGCAGCACACCAAGGTCATGACTCTGCCCTCTGATGCAGGCATGTTAGGTTAACTGTGTAATAGAGCTCTGCGGAGCGGAGTTAAAACCCAATAGTGACTGACATGAGCCTGTCTGTGTTAACCACAATCCCTCAATCAGCTGAGCCAAGGAGGAAACTGAAGAATCTTTGTACAGAGTCAGCTGCAGCGCAGGAGCCCCAGAGATGAAAAACTTGATAGAAATTCTGATTTCCCCCCTGCCCCCGCTCTATCCAAAACTACAAAAAAAGTTTCTGATTTCACCTACTTTAACCCCCTGTGTACTGCTGGCAGACCTCAGAGTTCCAGGAGATTCAAGTTACCCCACACACATGCAGCAGGTAAAGTCTCATTTTTTTTTTTCTCCAGGGTTGAAAAAACCCAAAACAACCTTATCCTTGGGCATGCGGCAATGACTGCTCATCCACCTCCCCCTCTGGCATGTCCCTCGGCTTCATGTTCAGTAGACTTGTATTAGATGTGATTTCAGTGGTCCTAATTGTACACTAAAGCTGGCCATAAACTGCAAATGTTGGATGGTTCCCAACAAACACAGTGGCTGTCAGCACCCCTCAATCAGCTGATCAAAAGGAGCAGGTCCGAAAATCAGCAGCCAATTTGGGTGTGTGGTAACCCTACAATTCTATTTCAAAGGCAAATGTGACAATGGGGGGGGGGAATTTATCACAGCAATTGCCACAGTTTTAACCTTAATGTTTTTATTTTTTAATGCACAAATCTGTTTAGCCGCTTCTTTTAACATATGCGTCTGACCTGAACTTGCACTATTCCAATTGCACGTGTTTTGTGGCTTCTGAAATTGGAGCATCACCTAACAATCACAACTTAAGTCCCCGTGACCACTTCGTCAAGAAGTGAGGGTAAGGATTTTTACATGGAGTTACGAGTCTTCTTTCCTGGAGTCTATTAAACCTCATTTATCAACATTACACGAGCATCAATCTGGTGCAAATATATCCCATGTAACCATATCAGAGTTCACACTCGCAATTCCGATGATAAATTCCACACTTAGTCTATCACTTTCAGTCAATTTAAATACAATCGGCTTAAATCTACATCCTGGCATGACTATACAAGTGACTTCCCTGCTAAATCAATCTCCATCTGTAACCGATCTCTCCCCTAATTAGATTTCTGAGAAGTTTGCTAAGTCAAGCTGCTTTACATGTTATAAACCCTACACCTGACTGAAGCACGATTTTTAATGCTTACATGATAAGTTGAGTTTGATTTATTTTACTTGTCAAGTGTATTTGTATATTTAAAGGTAAAATGATTCTCAGTGACACTTTAAATCAGTGGTTCTCAACCTGTGTAACCGCAGGACCCACATTTGTCATTAAGTCGTGACCCAAATCTCACCGCATTGGAACACATGGCATTGCGGTACTGTGCGGGTGATCAAACTGTGGGTGCCATTCAAAATGAATGGCAATGCAACACACCTCCCACACCAGAATATACGGTAGGTGCGATTGCATGGTAAAGTGCTGTACCAGTGTGAATGGGCCCTCAAAAACACTGACAGACGCACACAACCAGAGACACGATCACACACACACACACATAAACAAAATACATTTTTTGTTCTGTTTTTAAGATCCACCCAGTCTCCCTATCATACAAGAACTGGAGAGGATCCTCAGCCTGGGGTGCTGTGATGGAGCTCCATCCATATGTGCATTGCTTGTGCAGGTCCCTTGTGTGGCTCGTACAGGTGCCAGGAGCCAGAATGTGACGTCAGTCCAGTCTAGGCACCTCTACAGGGCACGTGAGGGAGCTGTAAGCAATAGACGTATAGATGGAGCTCTCTCCCGTGGCCATAGCCCCACCCCACTTAAAGCTGACACTCTACACCTGGCAGCATATTTTGAATGGCTGCTTAGTGTGAGAGCTGATATTGCTGCGCTAGGGGGAAACTGAGGAACCTCTCACCTAGAAAAGTGGAAGGCATGCGACGACCCAGTTTTGGGCCACGACCCACCAGACGAGAACCAAGGGTTTAAATAAAAACAAGGACGATAAAACGCTGCAATTTATTAAAACTGGAGGAAGTACAAGACAATAAATGTGAGTCAAAAAATCATAAAATCACCTTTTACCAATTGTGAGCTTCATAATGACCCATTTCATACCTCAGGCAATGTGCGTGCAGATCTTCAGAAACACGCTGAATTCCAGTCTACATATGTACATATACAGTCAGATCACTTTCATTTATCTATATCTAATGTGACAATCATCATCTGAACACTATGTCGCCCTGGAAGGTTGGATCCAGCCAAGCATTCCTTATCAGCATCGAATGTCTTCAGAGGAACATTAGTACATCTGAGATCCCATTTGTGGAGTAGAGCTTCCATGGACCAGTCCTCACTGTGGACAAATATTACTGATTTTAGTTCTACTGTTGCAATATGTTCCTCATCTATACAAACACAGCACTAGAAATGTGTGACTTTTCTTGCTTCAGAAATAGATTTACTTAGGCTGGGGTTTGTAAAATCAATGTTGAGTCAGTGTCATGAAGTCCTGAGCATATTGTTTCATGGAAAGAACACCTTTTTTGGTGTTTCAGAACGTTGGCAAATATTTGGGTTACAGAAATGGCCTGAGGAGACTAGGAATAATAAAAGGTTAAATACCTTAAATTTAGACACACAAAATTACAATCCCAGAAAGATCATTACCATTGCTTTGCAATCTACTAGGACTATCAATCTGGAGCAATTGCTTGAGGCCCCTTTCCCACAAGCCAACAGGTCATTGGGTTTCCAACCCTCCATTTACAGATGAAAAGCAGACAACAATGCATCTCTATGGCAGTGCGGATGAAAACATGACTAGGGATGCACCGATACCGAGTACTTGTACTCGCCCAAATGCTCCAATACTTGCAGATAGCAGAACCTCCGGTCAGAGGACTGGCAGTGCTGCAAGGGAACATGGAGCTGGCTTCCCAGCCAATCAGAAGCCAGACAGCCACCTCCCGACTTCTTGATAGGCCGGGAAGCTGGCTCGATGCTGATTGGCAGGGAAACCAGCTTCCCAGCCAATCAGCATGCAGCCGGCTGACGTGTCATTACCTGCCACACGGCTCACTGATTGCTCAAGAAGTCAGCTCCACGCTAGCGGAAGCACCGGTATTTGCAAGTACCGAAAGATAAATATCAGTCATACTGATCCCTACTGATGACCATTTGTTTACATCAGGAAACATCAGTGTCAGTTCAGGTCTGCAATTTGAGATGGATCAGCTCTCCGTTTTGACTGGCTGGGATTGAAGTAAACTAATGATCAGTTTACATCAGTTCAGGTTACGTCCATTTTTTGGGGGCTAACGTCCTAATGCAGCATGGCAGGCCCAATGCATGCTGGGGGAAAGCCAAGAAATATGGAAACTTACCATAGTATAACAACAAAAAGTCCAAAACAGACATGTAAAAAAACAGATGTAACCTGAACTGACAATGGATGCAGGGGTGCGGAATTTGTATCGCCCGACATCCAGGACATGCAAACTGTTGGCGTTATATAAATCCTGTATAATAATAATAATAATTCCGGCCGCTCATCAAGGACCCAAAAATACCAAGTTTAGAAATCTGTACGAAGAGACTGATGGCAGGATGGCTACATGGATATTGCTATTCGCAGCATTAAGACGATGGCCTCACTTTCCCTATGTCTTCTCACCGCCTCAAAAAACACGGTTTTGGGTACTCCATATGTGACCATAGCAACAGAGAAATAGTTTGAGTAAAACTAATTTCTTTATTTCCCTTTTTTCTTGTCATTATATACAGAATTAGAATGCATTAGACATCTGAACTCTATAGGTAAAATTTTGACAAATACCATCCATTTTTTGTTCTTACAGCAAAGTGGCCTATTGTCGTGGCTTTTTTATGTCTTCCTTTGGATCAAACACATAAAATTCACATAGGCCAATGTCACCGCTCCTTCACAGCAGCAATAGAGAGAACATCAGGTGCACCCTGGCTGAGCCAATCTTACTCCAGCATCAGCGGTTACTCTGGTCGCACACTGCAAGCTGCGCTGAAAGATTCTCACACACACACACACACACACACCTTGAACTTGATGGACCTGTGCCTTTTTTTTCCAAGCTTATCTACTATGTGGTGTGCTTGTGTGCCTGATTTTGAAATACTGCAATAATTATAAAAGGGTCTTTAAGCAGCAAATCACCTTCTGGCTTGATAAGTTGTCCAGAACTCAGCCTTGGAATTTCTTTCCATTATGAATCGAACAGTTACCAAGATGTCTTCAAAATCTACAAATAAACTCAGACTATTAGGATACAGTGTAATCTAACACATGCACAAATATATCCCATTGTTATTTTACAGCATTCTTAAGGTGCCCATACACCTGCCGATTATCGTACAATAATCGCGGGAAATCCCGCGATCGTAAGATAATCGGCAGGTGTGTGGAAGGCGTGCGACCGTTTCTACTGTACAGTCGCACGTCTTTTGTCTTACGAGCAGGCTCAAAAACCCGCCGAGAATCGTACGATTGTCGGTGGGTTTGTGGCCTGCTCGTAAGACAAATGCCGCACACTGCCCGTTCAGCATTGCAGTCATCGGAAGCCCGGGCCTTAGCGGGGCAGGCTTGCGATGATCGCAAGTACGATCTGCCTGTCCAAGATGGGCAGATCGTACGTTTTTTTAATAACCTTGCAACCATCGCAAGACAAAAAAAGTATTGCGATGGTTGTAAGGTGTATGGCCAGCTTAAGTATTACAATAAGCACAATATTAAACAGTACAATTATTCTACTCAATCTGTTATAGCGGAAAAACCTCTTTAAAGAGTATCTTTTGTCATGCTGTATACTTTTCTGATGATGTTGTCATTGACAGACTTACAACCAGCATGTTAATCTCAGAGCAATACAGCACTTGTTCATTATCACTGCAAGTGAGGTGACTAACACATGCAGCTTGCAAGTCACACAATGGCAGTTTCCAGCAGACAGGAAATTAGACAATGGCAACTACCAGCAGGCAGGGATGTTGTGTAGCCACTTGAAGCCGGGGGTGTTAAACCTCCTTCCTGTCCAGGCCATTTTTCAGTATTCAGCGCTGCGGTACCTTGCCTCAAGCTAAAATTTACAAGTTGATGAGTCAGAACATGGGAAAGTTTTCCTAAAGCAAGAACTCCGACATTAAATAGTCCTTATTTATCAGAGTGCCTAATAGGTAATCTGTCCCAATCAGATTAATTATTTTGATTTCTTACATAGACTGGAATAATATGACTGTATATCTGTCCATTTTAAAGTATATCTGTCATGAGGGAAATATCTGGGTTGGCATTGTCCTTTTTAAAATGTTACTTGCCTAGTTATCTCTGACTTCAACACTTATGAGAAAAGTCAGAATTCCCTACGTTGATCAGCCATAACATTATGACCGCTGAGAGGTGAAGTGAAAACATTGATTATCTCATTACAATGGCACCTGGAGGTGGGTGGGCTATATTAGGCAGCAAGTTAACATTTTGTCCCTGAAGTAAATGTGTTGGAAGCAGAAAAAAAAATGGGCAAGCGTGAGGATTTGTGGGACTTTGACAAGGGCCAAATTGTGATGGCTAGATGACTGGGTCAGAGCAACTCCAAAACTGCAGCTCTTGTGGAATGTTCCCGGTCTGTGGTGGTGAGAACCTACCAAAAGTGGTCCAAGGAAGGAAAACTGGTGAAAAGGCGACAGGGTTCATGGGCAGCCAAGGTACAGGGGGGCGAAGTCTGGCCTTTGCAGTCCGATCCAAAAGAAGAGCTACTGTAGCTCAAATTGCTGAAAAAGTTAATGTTGGTTCCAATAGAAAGGTGTCTGAACACACAGTACATTGCAATTTTTGCATATGGGGCTACGTAGCCACAGACTGTACAGGGTACCCATGCTAACCCATGTCCACTGCCAAAAGCATCTAAAATGGGCACGTGAGCATCAGAACTGGACTAAGGAGCAATGGAAGAAGGCAGCCTGGTGGCCTCTTTCAGCAGGATAATGCTCCCTACCACACTTCCAAAATGGTTCAAGAATGGTTTGAGGAACACAACAATTAGTTTGAGGTGTTGGCTTGGCCTCCAAATTCTCTAGATCTCAATCAAATCGAGCATCTGTGGGATGTGCTGGAAAAACAAGTCCAATCCATGGAGACCCCACCTCACAACTTACAGGTCTTAAAGAATACGCTACTGACGGCTTGGTGCAAGATACCACGGCATACCTTCAGAGTTATAGTGGAGTCCATGCCTCGTCGGATCAGGGCTGTTTTGGTAACAAAAGGGTGACCTAGAGTACTCAATATTAGGCAGGTGGTCATAAATATTATGGCTGATCGGCGTATCAGTCAGTGACATAAAGACCTGATGCCAAAACATAGCATTTTCCTAAGTTCACAGCAAAGGATGCCTACATATTTGTCCAAGTACAGTTGCCTGTTAACATGAACATTTTCTTATTGCTAAATAGATTTTTGTTAGAACTTTCATTTGACAACTTTACCCTTTGGTTCATAGAAGACATCAGATCCCAACACTATATCGATAGGAGGAAGATCCAGAAGATCGGGCGATACCTCGCCCCACGTCAGTCCCAGGACCGGTATTCCCAACAGATCATTCTGCCTGCAGCTCCTGGAACAATTCTGTAAGCACTGTGGCATAGCTGCTGAATCTGATAATATAACATTAGCAGCACACTTTGCAGCCAGTACTCCAGGGAGGCTCACACCTGCTCCAACCTTCAAAAGCAAGATGAAAAAAGATGAGCTGTAAGAAACACATTATATCGTTCTCTCTCTCTATCATATTATATACCATAGGTTTCAAATCACTGGTACATGTACCCCAGGGGCTTAATTTGACAGGTTTAGGGGGGGCATGTGATGGAAACAAGAACCTTCATTGTACAACAATTTGAATACAGTGGGGAACCAGCAGACTTCACTGACTCCTTACAAACTGATGACCCATTTGTTGGACTTAGGGCCAGATTGCACTTTTTTATCTAAGTAACACTATCTGCCTTAGCTTGTAGCAGTGTGAAAGAGCTCTAACGCAGTGGTTCTCAACCTTTCTAGGGCCGGGACCCCTTGGTAACATTTGCCAAGTTGTGGTGACCCCCAACCATAAAATTTAGGGATTCACCAATACTGGTATCTGTGTGGGCTCTTGGGAGGCTATGCGAGCTCTCAGGTGGCAAGTGGGACTCTCTGGTGGCATCCAGTGCGGGCTCTGTGGTGCCCATTGTGGGCTCTGTGGTGATCAAGCACTCACCTCCCCTCACTCCTGCCTGCTCTCCTCTCTCTGATCCTCTCTGGCCGCTACTGCTGCAGCGCCATCTAGGAGTACTGACAGGAGGCTGAGGAAACTCTTACCTAGAGCAGCACAAGGCACGTGGGGACCCCCTCAACTATGGGTTGCGACCCACTTTTGGGTTGAGAACCACGGCTTTTCACAATTATACTTCTCGTGAAAATCCTGCCTTTCTGGTCTGTCCAATTGAGACTTGCACATGTGTAAGCAATGCCGGAAATGAATAAGGTATGCAAAAGGATAATAATCCGGCAATTATCTATAAATATCTGTAGGCTGCCATTACTGAACATTATCAAAATTCCAAACGTATATATATTGTGGGGTTTATATGAGGTACATGATTCTCTTTAGTCGTTAAAAACACAATTTATTTTGTACATCTTAAAACCAAAATACTTATATACAAAATCAACATAGAAATTGATAAAACTCTGTTATTTTGTGAGACGAGCGGTCTAGAGCATGCCACAGTGATGGACGCATGAGGAGGGTATCCCCAGTGTTGCTGCAAAAGACGCCTTGGATATGTATAAGACAAACAGACTAGTACTAAGGATTGGTGTAATATAAGTATTAAAAGAGAACTATGGGGTAACCTTTTTATCCCATAGTTCTCTTTAGGGTCACGGGAAGACATATTCTAACATCCTCCCGTGACCCAAAGCTTAGTATATAGCGAGATACTGCTCACTATATACCAAGATCACCGCAGCTGGGACGGATCCCGGCAATACTGTCGAGATCCACCCAGCTGCTTGAGTGACAGCCAGCGCCTATCTAGAGGCAGAGCCAGCTGTGCCCGCCCCCTACCCCATCCGTTCCTCCACTCAGCGCTGGAGGTTCGGAACGGGGAGGGGATCCCTGTGGGGAGATGATCAGAAAGTGAGCGAGCGACGGTATGCGTTCACTCACTTCCCGATTTATAGAGCCGACCTGTGACAGTTTCATTTTGTCACAGGTCGGCTCGAACTATGAGGATGAGTGAAAATCACTCACCTCATAGTTCTCTTTTAAGGTGGTTTATTTCCTCCTTGGAAAGCTGCCTATATTCCTCTGATGACACTACTGCGAAATGCGTTGGAAAGTGAAACTACATGCTTTTTCTTTATAAGCATTTTGATTTTTTAAGATGTACGAAATAAAATTGTGTTTTTAACGATTAAAGAGAATCATGTGCCTCATCCAGTTTATTATGACCACCTGACGTTTGTAGGCAAATTAGCTTTAATTTTGCTCTGAAGTTGCTAGAGGGCCAGACCATTATAAATAGGGAAGCAGGTTGTTTACCACAACAGTAGAAGTTATTTTCTTCTGAAGATACGGGTAAATAACGCGATTTAACATCCTTTGAACGTGGGATGATTGTTGGCGCTCGGAGCCATGGAGCGAGTATCAGCAAAACAGCAGAATTCGTTAAATGTTCAAGAGCAGCTGTTGTTAAAGTGTTTAAAGACTGGACTGTCAGCCGAAAATCTGGGTCTGAATGTACAAATTGTGGCCGTCAGCGACTAGTCAATGTTAGGGCAGAACGGAGAGTGGCAAGACTGGTACAAGACAACAGAAGAGCAACAGTGCAGTGTCAGATTCCTCGCATCACCTTTCAACATCTCGTGGAGTCACAAGGCGGCCCAACGAAGTCATCTCGTGGAGTCATCTCGTGGCCCAACGAAGTACTGATGGGGTGGTCATAATAATCTGGCCAATCAGTGTGTAAACCCCTCAATATACATACTTTTGGAATTTCAGTGAGTATGGGGGAGGCTAAAGAAAGGCCATACACAGGATCCAAATAGGGGCTATTTGTTTGATGTAAACATTATTAAAAGGTGTCTTTGTTGTCATTTTCAAGATATAGGTGACGTTCCCCTTTAAGATATATAAATCTGTACAATTCTATAGCTAAGTGACCATTGCTTAGTTGGCAAAACTGTTCGATTTTTGGAGTCTGAGAGCGAGATCTTCCTGGCAAAATTCTCCGTTCTGTTTAGGGCCTCTGGGAGTCTTGCTTATATTGCTACAAACAGGAAGTTTTCACTACTTCATAAAAGAATATGAAAAAAAAATCAAAAAACAGAAGGGGCATTAACTCTTATAATTGCCTTAAAGGAGAACTATGGGGTCAGTGTTTTTGCCCATAGTTCTCCTTAGGGTAACGGGAGGACACAAACTAGCGTCCTCCCGTTACCCTAAGCTCAGTATACCGCTAGCTACAGCTCTCGGTATACTGAGACGCCGGAGCGGATCCCGACTTAGATGCCGGGATCCGCCCGGCTGCGTGAGTGACAGCTGGCTCTGCCTATCTAGAGGCAGAGCCAGCTGTACCCGCCCCCTCCCCCGTCCGTTCCGCCAGTCAGCGCTGGCAGATCGGAGCGGGGAGAGGGGAATCCAGCCCCTCCCCCTGTCACGGCAGAGAGCTGTGACAGTCTCATTGTCACAGGTCGGCTAGAACTATGAGGTGAGTGAAAAGCACTCACCTCATAGTTCTCCTTTAAATTATTTGCATTCCTAATAACTCAAGCACAGAGATGTCACCAAAGTCTCAGATATATTTAGGAAACCATACGATGACCCAACTCTGGGCAGGGTAAAACGTAACCCTCGCAGCTGGGCTACCACCCGCACTGCAAAGGTTAAGTGCACATTATTGTCTACAAACAGGGGCCATCCAGCTGTGTTTTAACTACAAATCCCAACCTGCCTCTGGGAGTAATGCCCGAAACTGTCAGTCTTGCAATGCCTCATGGGACGGCCACAACAGCTGGAAGGCCGGAGTTGCCCATCCCTGGTCTAAAATAACAAAGATATGCTCACCTAAACCTCGGTCCTGCCTGGTGCTAGAATGGTCCCCGCAGCCTCTCTCCAACTCTGCTCTGGTGGTGGAATGCTTCTTGGCGTCCTGACGTCTAATACACTGTGTTAGACATGACTCACGGGTCATTGGACCGCCGGAGTGGAGAGGGTTAGAGGCTGCGTGGACCAGTCTAGCAGTAGTCAGGACTGAGGTCCCAGTGAGTACAGCTTTGTTATTTTACACCCTAGACGAAAATGAGCACTTAAACCTTGCAATGCAGTTTTATTCTGCCCAGAGTTCTTGAAACATCACTTTTTGGGAGTTTTGACCCTTTAAAGTATTTGTAGCAAAAAATACATTTGGAGCAGGCATGTTTAACATATCATTAATAGTATTCCCTCTGACTTGTGTATTGTATGAATAGATTTAAAAGGGAAATAAACAAACATACTTCTAACACTCTCTTGCCAGCTATGACAGATCGGTGGGACCATATATACTGTGCAAGGACCAGTGCACAGGGCCAGACATACATTCCATATTCTGAATCCAGTACCTGGAAAATAAAATATAGATGTTTAAAAATTGGTAAACAGCGGTAAAATATCTTCCTTGTACTGTTTTGCTCTTACAGTTCGGACCCGATCACACCAGATGTTTTGGGGCTGCACTGGTCACTTTTTCCAGCCCATCCCCAATGCATAGACAAGGCAATTTGAGGGAGGAAAAATGCCTCTCCCCAAGACCCTACAACAGGGGTAGGCAACCTCGGCACTCCAGCTGTTGTGGAACTACAAGTCCCAGGAGGCACTGCAGGACTCTGCTAGCCACAGGCATGACTCCCAGAGGAAGAAGCATGGTGGGATTTGTAGGCTCAACACAGCTGGAGTGCCGAGGTTGCCTACCCCTGCCCTGCAAGATTTTGCACTTACAGATGAGATTTTCTAAGGTGATCTAACCTTACCAGGATGCCTCTGTGGGGCCAGGACTACACCACCAGTGCCTCTCTCAACCAGGAAGTGGAAAGGCAGTAATTGTAGATAAAAGCAACAAAAAAAATAATGTATTAATTAATGTAAGATGATTTCATATCAGCATGGAGAGATGCATATAGCATACCCTTTGGTAGCATATAAACACTGCAACTCAACTAACTGCTTGATTGTGCTGCTGCTCCCTCTCCAAGTCTGAGCCCTACTGTTCAGGGATGCAAGAGGTTGATACCAAGTGAAATTCAGGTACTTGCACTGTTTAAATGAAACAAATATATACATTTAATTATGTAGCAATAAGAGCTGCATTCATTTGTGTCTTTTATACCTCCAGGTCAAGTTATGAAGGAATGTAAAAAGTTGGTCCTTGCAGTGGAGCTACCCCCGCACTGCAAGGGTTAACTGCTTGCTTTTTTTCTAGGGGCTCAAATTGAAAAAATATACTCATCCAATCCTCGATTCTGTCTTGCTGCCAGACCGGTCCAGATCCTCTGGCGATCTAAGCCCTGCTAACATAATCATGTTGAATGCAGTACATTCACCTGCATTAGACGTGAGGACGCCAAGGAACATACCACAGCTGGAGCAGAGGGGAGTGTGGATCGCCGCCGTGAGGAAAAAAGAACACTTAACCCTTGCAGTGCAAGAGTAGCCCCACTGCAAGGGTTAACTTTTTGCATACATGGAGCTCTTCTTTAAAAGAACAGGTCAATCTGGATAATTAGACACCAAACATGTCAAGATTTAGAATTGCGCACGATCGCAAAAAACTACCATACCTAAAATTGGCCATAGGCAACAATTTAAAAGCTTTTACCGTTTATCAATTTAGTGTTATCAGTGGCCCTAGAATTATTGCTCTCACTCTGACATTTGCGGGGATATGTAACATGTGTGGCGTAATCATTTTCGCACATAGGTGCGTCTGACATGTATTTACGTTTGTATGTGCGTGCACACAGGGGATTTTCCTTTCTTTTTACTGTACACTTAACTTTATTGCTATCACATAAGGGGCTAAGAAGCCCCCTATGTGATTGCAAATATATCATGGCCGGTCCTCTTTATGGAGACATTAGGGGCCTCTAAGACCCCCAATGTCACCTAGGGACCCCCAAAGCAGCTGATGAAGCAGAGATCTGCTTCATTAGCTTCTCTTCTGGCTATAGCGGCCAGAAAAATGACAGCTGAAGGTGGAAGTAAAGTTATACACATAGCTTCCGGCATCAGAGGTCAGAAGAGAGTACAGCAAGTAGGAGAATGCTGATCTATCCTCCATTTACACTGTGAGCAGCTGCTGTGCCAGTCCCGGGCCCGCATGGGGGACAGCGAAGCCCGGGATAACCGGCAGTGGCAGTGAGCCAGCACCTTTTTTTCTACCCCAGTCCCCCACACACTTACCTGTCAGCTGCGCTCGTCCCCGCCGCCGGTCCCGAAGCGATCCTCCGCACCCCAAACTTCCGGAAGGAAGGATAGGCTCCTTCGGCCATTAATCAAAGAGGGAAGGGGCGTGGCCTGTCACAGGGCTGTGTGTGTCTATGGACGCACACAGCCGCTGCAGGCACGAGCGCGCACGGGGGCCTCCATTAGAACGATGGTGGCGACCGTTCAGGGGGCGGGGGGAAGAGCATGGCGGTGACCCACTAGAAAACGAGGAGTGAAGCATTTTTAAGGAAAAAAAAGGAGGGTCTCCTTTAAGGAGTAATTAAAAAACAATTTGGCTTTAATGTCACTAAGTCTGGCATCTCATGTGCTGTCCATAGTGCTGATCCTACTTGTTACACCGACGGCACTGTCACGGCACGTTCACATAGAGTTTTAGTGTGCTTTACCACCCTGCACACTGCATGTAAAGTAGAATTATCTGAACCATTATAAAACAAACTAAAAATAACAGAAACATACTGTATATCTAAAGTCAAAGCTTTTTTTTTATTACTTCTTCATAAAGTACGGAATGGATGAAGTGTTGTCAAAAAAAAAAATCCCAAACAGGGCTACCTGTATAAGAAGAGCATGAATCATTTCCCGTTCTTGTTAGAAGCATTTCTAATGCTCCTATGCCTGTTGCAACCTCCCAGCTCCTACTGGTGGTTGCTTGTTATCACTAGACCTGTCCTAAACTTCCAGCTTAATGAGCCTGGTCACACACCTTCAACACTTCATCAGCTGTGGGCTACTGAGCCTGGCCACACACCGCTAAGAGCCGGTCAGTTGTAGGCTATTGAATCTGGCCAAATCCTCAGCACCTGTCAGCCCTGCGCTAATGAGCCTGGCCACACACCCCTAAGCACCACTCTGTCAGCTCTGGGCTAATAAGCCTGGCCACATACCCTCAGCACCTGTCAGCTCTGTTCATGGATTACTCTCTGCTGCCAGTCCTGACCTCAGCCTTTCCCTGGAATACTCTCTGCTGCCAGTCCTGACCTCAGCCTTTGCCCCACCAGTCCTGACCTCAGCCTTTGCCCCACCAGTCCTGACCTCAGCCTTTGCCCCACCAGTCCTGACCTCAGCCTTTCCCTGGAATACTCTCTGCTGCCAGTCTTGACCTCAGCCTTTGCCCCACCAGTCCTGACCTCAGCCTTTCCCTGGAATACTCTCTGCTGCCAGTCCTGACCTCAGCCTTTGCCCCACCAGTCCTGACCTCAGCCTTTCCCTGGAATACTCTCTGCTGCCAGTCCTGACCTCAGCCTTTGCCCCACCAGTCCTGACCTCAGCCTTTCCCTGGAATACTCTCTGCTGCCAGTCCTGACCTCAGCCTTTGCCCCACCAGTCCTGACCTCAGCCTTTCCCTGGAATACTCTCTGCTGCCAGTCCTGACCTCAGCCTTTCCCTGGAATACTCTCTGCTGCCAGTCTTGACCTCAGCCTTTGCCCCACCAGTCCTGACCTCAGCCTTTCCCTGGAATACTCTCTGCTGCCAGTCCTGACCTCAGCCTTTCCCTGGAATACTCTCTGCTGCCAGTCCTGACCTCAGCCTTTCCCTGGAATACTCTCTGCTGCCAGTCCTGACCTCAGCCTTTCCCTGGAATACTTTGTCCCACCAGTCCTGACCTCAGCCTTTCCCTGGAATACTTTGTCCCACCAGTGCTGACCTCAGCCTTTCCCTGGAATACTTTGTGCCACCAGTCCTGATCTCAGTCTGTCCGTGGAATACTCTCTGCTGCCAGTCCTGATCTCAGTCTGTCCGTGGAATACTCTCTGCTGCCAGTCCTGACCTCAGCCTGCCCCTGGAATACTCTCTGCTGCCAGTCCTGACCTCAGCCTGCCCCTGGAATACTCTCTGCTGCCAGTCCTGACCTCAGCCTGTTGCTGGAATACTTTGTCCCACCAGTCCTGACCTCAGCCTTTCCCTGGAATACTCTCTGCTGCCAGTCCTGACCTCAGCCTTTGCCCCACCAGTCCTGACCTCAGCCTTTCCCTGGAATACTCTCTGCTGCCAGTCCTGACCTCACCCTTTCCCTGGAATACTTTGTCCTACCAGTCCTGACCTCAGCCTTTCCCTGGAATACTTTGTGCCACCAGTCCTGATCTCAGTCTGTCCGTGGAATACTGTCTGCTGCCAGTCCTGACCTCAGCCTGTTGCTGGAATACTCTCTGTTAGGGATGCACCAAAATGTCGGCCGCCAAAAGATGTCAGCCGAAAATGGTACTTGGCCAAAATACGTGTGTGTGTGTGTCGTTAAGTGGTCACCACTCCAAGCTCGCTCCCGTAATGGACTACAATCTCACGTTTAGTTGAATAATTTGTATTGGAACTGTAGTCCATCAAGGGAGTGAGCTTGGAGCGGTGACTACTTTACAACACACACAGGAACCATGGGGAACATAAGTAGCCACCCTCCAGAAGGAAGGACAGTGTCCGCACCAATTCAGAGATGATTTGAGGATCTACAGCCGAGTGATACACAAATAAGATACATTTTTGTTAATAGTTAAACTGCATTTTTGACTGCATTTTTAAGATTTAATTCCTGAGTTTAGTGTCACTTTATCCATCTACGGAAGGGAGGATTAGTTCTAGGTCAGCAGAAGCGGGGGGGTTGAATGAAGAATTGCTACAAGTTCTCTGATAGTCCACTTATCCTTTGGGCCCTTGTTCACACATACAGCAGTGACCTGCGTTTTACCACACCGGATTAACGCAGGTCAACATTAGGACACAGAAAATGATTGTTATTTTTGTGTCCTTTTCACACCACAATGCGGCTGTGATAGACGGTGTGCTGCATTTCTCTGCAGTGCAGTGGATGCCACCGCACGGCAGCTGACCTGAATGGAGTGTACACATTGTGAACGGAGACTAAAGGATAACTCAGAATATAAGGTAGGAGGGGATGGAGAAAAGAAAATAAATGGGGAGGGATGGGGAAACGCACAAGCCAAAGTGCAAACAGCCCCCTAATAAAGTCTTCTGGACTTAGGCGAGTGGTTCCTCTCTCCTTGCACATCCGTACATGTCAACCAATGGTTGTTACTCCCCAAACTACACAAAAACTTTTTGGAACCGCACATAATAATAATATTAATAAATAACAACAATAATTTAAAAAAAAAAAGGACATAACACACACAAAACAGACGGTCCTGCACCCCTTATCAGAGGTTCCATCTAACATCCCCAATTGTATCTGAAATAAAAGACTGGTATAACTTTCGATATTCTTCGAAAAGCAGCACATGTGACAGTGACAGTGAAAGCAATGTCAGGTACTGAGGATGGTGCGAATGACACCGCGCTTTCCTGATTGGCCAGACTCGAGCAGTGATCGTCCAGGCTCGGGCAGTGATTGGCTGCCGCAGCAGCGATCGGGTTAAAAGCTGCCTGCACTTCTGCACGTAGCCCATGGCGCCACATTGTGGACAATAACAGAACAAGCACCTCGGGGATGGTCAGCCGGAGCTCCCTGTCGGCCTCCTCCTGGGTGTAGACATACTCCCGGAGCGCGACTCGAGGCTCCCCTTCATCCCCCATTCAGAAACATCACCTGGAGAAACTCCTCCGCACGTGCGCCGCCATTGAGTCGCTCAGTGATGGCGACATCAGCGGTGGTGACGGAACACGTCGGCCATATTGGTGGAGGAAACCGCAACCTTTATTCGGCCGCGGGCGTGAAGACGCTGTCACAACAATGCGTGCATTCATTTAGTTATATATTCGGTTAAATAAAATACATGGGGCACCCATAGAACCATCGGCGCCAAATTTACTATGGTTTTCTAGTATAACGTCTGCGCTGACCTTCTCAACATGGCGGCTCTCTCAGGATGAGGCGTGCGGAGGGAACATTACTTCCTGGTAGGTGTGAACCAATAGGAAATGTGTAGGGAAAGGTGGGCGGAGCTTTAGTTGTCTTCTGAGCTACTGCGAGGTGGGTACCAGGAGCGCGCTTGGTTGGGAACACCCCGGGATGAACCACAAGAGCAAGAAGCGCATCAAGGAGGCCAAGCGGAGTGCCCGGCCCGAGCTAAAGGACTCGCAGGACTGGAGCCGGCATAATTACATTGAGGTGTACCGGCTGAGCCCCAGCAGTGTGCCGGTGAGACCTCCCACCTCTACACATTATGTATTGTTGGAAGGGACAGGGCTCAGTACCCCATGGCTCTGCCCTATCATAGGCGAACATTGAGAGGTGATACATTGTTACAGCAGACACATGGTACATACGGTCATATTGTACTGGGTGAGGGGGAGGGGCTACACCTGGAAGTCAATGGAGAAAGAAGTATTGAATGGAGCGTCCTGCCAGGATTTGCCTCCTTTTTCCCTAATCTGCTTAAACTCTCCCAAAAATATTATATTTTCCTAACGCCCTGTAGAATAAAAAGGTTGTATTTGCATTTTTTCATGTGATGTGATACGTACGCAACTGTTTATTAAATAGTAGAAAGTCCATTCCAATAACTTTTACTTTACTGCTATTACAAGGGGACAGAGCATTCCTCTTTATGGGGGACATCAGGGGTTTATTAGACCCCTAACGTCTCCCCTACCCTGTGCTACAGACTGTGCAGGATCATCTGTTTGCCTGGCTTATTGACTGGTATTTTGACAGCGCTGAACCTGGAAATGCTTAGAGCTGAACGCTTCCGTGTTTACACTCTGCAGAGGACATACAGGGGTGGCACCTCATTAGTCATAGTGGGGGGTACTGTGCAAGTCACATAACGCGAGCAGTGGCACTGCGCCAGTCACATTAAAAAAATGGCACTATTTCAATGTGAACCCTTAGCATTGACCACCTCCCCAAAAAAAAAACAGGAATTCAGGAAGCGGCAGTACCTGGCTCCTCCTGAACGCCTGCAACCCACCACTCAACCACATCTCAAAAGCAGTCAATTGCAGGGGCCTGGTAGTTGGCTGCTAATCCCAAGCAATGCATGGTGGAAGGAGGAGGTTGCATGCTACCTTAGCCCTCATTTACGCTATGCAATGTGGGACTCCAGTGGCAGGAATCCCAAATGTGACAGCAGCCGCATCTGTAAGCAACAGCCAGCGTGTGATACAATTACATGTGGTTTGGCATAGATCACTGTCCCTGGATGCAGGATAGGTGCGTCCAGGGACCGTGATCTATCCCAAGCCACATGTAATCGTATCACATGCGGACTGCCGCTTGCAGATGCGCCCACTGTCACCCGGTGTTTTAACTTGAATGGGTGACATCGGCCGCATTTAAACAGGAGATTTGTGATTCCTGCCACAGGAATTCATAGGTTCCTGCTGCAGGAATCCCAAATCGCATAGTGTGAATGTATCCTTATATATGGATGCACCACATATGCCAGCCTGGCAAGGGGAAGACTTTGAGTGGGTTGGGGGTAAGCTTTAACCTTTTAAAGCCCAACATTGGGAAATTTTGTTTTTAAATTGCCCCCAACTATTTGTTTTTAAACTCCTTTCCAGTTTTTTTTTTACTATGTTTAACCTTGACAAAGACACCGTGGGGGGCCCTGAAACGTTAACATGTATTTTGAAGACTTTTACAGAGTGAAAAGAATATTTTTGGGTGTTGGTTGACTTTTCAGATTCTTCAACGGCACCGTCCTTTGCATCCTCATCAGTTCGCAGGCTGTGTAGTGCATATAGACAATTTGAATATGTATTGGGGGGTGACCCAGGCTGCACAGGGTTTTGTGGTGTTAATGACCAGGGATCCTATTGATAGTATATGCGGCTTTCACCCCTCCCGGATAATCATTTACCAGCCTAAGGGGTGCTTACATCTAAATGGATACTGGGAATTCCATATGCAGAAAGCTGCTTTGTGTTCTTTATCATGCTGTAGAAGGAGATTCGTTGTGAAAGAGCCTTTAAAAAGCCAAACACAGTTCTCAATGGACAGCCTTAGCATGGAAAAAATTGAAAGGTCATAGTTGCTTGATAAGGAGTGTGAAATGTGCATTTGCTCTTTAACCCATTCACTGGAGGAGGCATTTTTAATTTTTCACACATATGCTAAAATGCACATTTTGCTTTATACAGGAAAACACACTCCCCTCCCTTTTAGATGGTAAGCCCTCAGGGGCAGGGCCCTCCTTACCATCTTGTCTTAAATTGTATTGTGACTGTAATGTCTTCCTTATATTGTAAAGCGCTGTGCAAACTATTGGCGCTATATAAATCCTGTATAATAATAATAAAGGGCTGATTATATAAACGTCCTGCCCAGTGCATAGGCATGCCTACTATATTCCTGCCACTAGATGGAGCTGTGGAGCATGGGAAATTCCTATGTTATGCGCCTCCATCTAGTAGTGGGAATGCCGTGCGAATTAGGGATGCACCGATGCCAAGTACTGTACTCGGTACAAGTACAGATACTTTTGAGCTCCAAGACTAGACTAGAGAAAAATTCAAAAGTTAGGAGGCAGCTGTCATTTGTAAGGAGCACACAGAGCTCCTGGGATTTGTACATCTCTGTTTTAATGTACGATTTTGTTTTTATAAATATATATAAGTGATGCACCGATACCATTTTTGCAAGTACTGGTACTGATACATTTTTGTCATGTGACAGTTTTTCTAAAACAATACAGACTAATGATTTCAGGACAGTGGTGGAGCGCCAGAGCCAGGTCCCAGCTGCAACCCTGGTAGTTCTCATGAAAATGCCAAGTATCGGCACCGGTATCTGAAAAGTATCTGTGCATCCCTAGTGCGAATGTTTATACATCAACCTCTTTAAGTTTTATGTAATCTGCACTAATCAATAGTTAGAATCGTTGGCAAAGATTCTTTTCGATTAGTCGCCACCGCTCTGCTCGTCCGTTCTTCTCCCCGCTGGTAGTGGCTGTCCCTTTCAATCCCCACTGCTCTCCCCGCCTGTATCTGCAGGGCAGCGGGAACACAGACCACTGCAGCCGGCACCAGCGGGGAGAAGAGACTGCGGTGACTGCAATCCCCTGCTTCTGCCCCCCGTGCCTCTGCTGCTGCTCTGTTCCTCCTCCTGACCGCCCCGTTCTTTCTCCGCTGCACTCCCCATTCCCTTCCCTGCTCCTCCGTGCCCCCTCTTCTGCCGGTGTTCTATCGATCCCTCGGACTCGAGTCTGAGGGATTGATAGAACACCGGCGCCGTCTTTCATCAGTGGCTGGAAACAATAGCCAGCCTGCTATTGGATATTTGAAATTGCAATAGCAGGCTGGCTATTGCACCCGCCCACTGCCTGCTGTCAATCAGCAGAGGAGGACCTGATGGAGAACTGCCTCCTTGAGTTCCCTCCTCTGCTATTGCAATTTAAAATCAATAACAGGCTGGCTATTGCTCCCAGCCACTACCTGCTGTGTTGACATTCAGCTGCCTCAGCAGCTGAATCCAGTGAAGTGGAGAACCTGTCACCTCCAATGTGCCATCACATATGGGGCTTGTAAGCCCCCCATGTGATAGCAATGAGGTAAAAAAATAAAATTAATAAGTTCCTCAACGCTGCAAAACGCGCGTACACCAACTGAAACACAAGTCGGGTGCACCTACATAGAAAAACAACGATTACACTACACGTCGGGTATGGCCGCATATTTTATTTTTAAATTAAGGATTTTTTTTTTTTTTATACGATTAATCAAAAACAGTAATAGGCTAACTAATCGATTTTATGAAAATAATCGATAGCTGCAGCCCTAATTAACTTCATATTGGCTCCATTTTAGCCTTTTAAGTATACCATTAAAAGCGTTTTGTTATACAGACATTCTTCGGTTACCGACTTACCTGCTTTGCGACCACTCGCACTTACGACGGACTGCCGAGCGACCTCCGACCTAATGATTTTAGGACAGTTGTGAAGTGCCAGGGCCCGGTCGCAGCTGCAATCCTGTTCTACCACTGACTACAAATCCAAGCAATACATTGTACAGCAATGCAGAATAATAGAAAGCTTCATACTCTGCTGCTCCAGGGTGCTGACCTGATGTCCCCATCGGAGGATCACAGGAGGGCTGTGCGGGGTATGTAAACAGGTGCTGCATGGTTAACAGGAAAGCTGCTAAGGTCCCCAGCAAACGCAGGACCTCAGGCAGCCGCTGCAGTTAAAAAAATTAAGTGCCGGTATCGGCACTTGGTATCGGGGCATTTTCACGAGTACTCATGAAAATGCCCAGTATCGGTCCATCCCTATTTAGTGACATTTCACTTTCCTTCCTGTAGATTCAACAGGAAGTGAGTGGATATCTTTCCAATGAGGGAAATCCTTCAACCGTTGTAGTGGGAAAAAAGTGTCCCCAATGGAACATTTTCCCTCTATCATGTTATAGTGATCATAGAAATGAGAGAGAAATGCACTGCCACACAGCAGCACACACACTATGTGTATCATAATATGTGCTGCTGCTAGTGTGATAAGATGTATTTTTTTTCTTACAATTGTCTTCTGTGTGTGCTGGTCTTGAGCCTACGTTGAGCTGCTCAGCTGATCTAGTGTGAATGAGCCCTTAATTGTATTCATGCACACAAAGGGAAAGGTCCATCTGTATAATCCTAGAGCAAACACCCTGTAAATTAGTCCTACACCCTCAGTGGAGAGCACCCCCAGTGGAGAGCACTGGGTGTGGATTGATTTTTGACCTGCAGTGCGAATAAATATACATTTGTCATTTGTTTACTGGTGACCAAATCTGATATTGGAAGAACTGTGGAGTTACACTATTATACACAGGAAGAGTTCGACTTCAACATTCTCTTATTGGCCAGACTGCAGATTAAGCTGAATTCCAGGTAATACTTTAAAAATAAACACAGATTAATGCTGTTATGTGTTCATTATAAAATAATAGAATGTATTATTAAAAGTGGATAATGTAAGTGTCTGACAGCCAGTGGTGGACTGAGATGCCAAGCGGCCCATGTGCAAGAACAAATTTTGGGCCCCATCATTTAATTACTGGCCATGTAAAAAGACTTGGGAAGTGAGGCCTTTCTCAAGATGACCTGCACCCCCTCCTGTGAAACGTCGGATTAATGTTCTTCTTTGTATATTCTTGTTTTAAGGTCCTGGGAGTACCTGTCTCTACCTGATTGGTATTAACTGGGTGCACTCCTCTACTGTATGGTAATGGCATTTAAGAGCTGTTTAGTGTAGTAATCCTCTAAGGCTGCATGCTGATGTCACCCCAGGGGGTCGGAAGCCTGGACTCCAAGGCAGTGGGTTGAGTAACGATGGCGATGATTTAAGAACATCTGATGGCAGAAAGGATTATTGCTATCACTGGGTTATTCATGTTATTTAGCTTGAGTTCAGCTTTAAGAGTCCCTTTTTTCCCCCCCTCCCAACAGGATAATGTAGAGCGTGCTGATGCTACCCAGATCAGCCTTGAAGAATTTATTGAACGCTATGAGAAACCTTACAAGCCAGTAGTCATTGTCAATGCTCAGCTCGGTTGGCCAGCTCAAGAGAAATGGACCATAGAAAGGCTGAAACGAAAGTATCGCAACCAGAAGTTCAAGTGTGGGGAGGATAACGATGGTTATTCTGTGAAGATGAAGATGAAATATTACATAGATTACATGGAGAGTACACAGGATGACAGCCCGCTGTACATCTTTGACAGCAGTTATGGAGAACACCCCAAGAGGAAGAAACTACTGGATGACTATGAAGTGCCAAAGTATTTTACGGATGACCTCTTCCAGTTCGCGGGCGAGAAGCGCAGACCGCCATACAGGTATAGTGAGATGTAGTTCTGTCATAAATGGTACAAGGAGTAGGAGGAGTTACTAAACTGATAGATTTTGCTTCAAGTTTTGAAAACCTGGATCTATAGCAAAATCCATTTTTTAATGACTACTAAAGCTACTTGTGGCAACATTGTGAGTGTCTCTCCAAGGACTTGGAGATGTCAATTTTCTTTCATCTCTTTACCAGCTTCTGCTTGTTTGCTGGAGGTTAGATGTTTAGTTTGCCAGAAAAGAATCCTGCTTCCATTTTTGTTTTTCATTATTATTCTTTTGTGTAACAGTATAAATTATAGTGAAGACATTTTTGCCACCACCAAATTCAAACACAAACGAATACGGATTTCTCACAAATAGTATTTTATAATCTCCGCAAGTTAAACCCTCGCTCAATATTAGCGCAACTCTTTATCAAACTCCCAAACATTTGAAAAAAATGCACCTAATTTTATTGCCTGAAACACAATATAATACCCATTTTTTTTATAAAATGTAAAAGATGAGGTGAGGAGTAAATAGATACCTAACAAGCCCAGGTTAAAAATTGCGTGTCTGTGAAACTGCAACAAAATACGGTACTCCAAATTGTCCATAGGCGACGCTTTAAAAGATCCTGCAGGTCATCAGTTTAGAAATATCCATGGATATTGGCCCTAGAATTATTGCTTTCACTTTGGCGCACGTACCTAATGTGTAGCACAATTGTCCTTTTCATATGTAGACGAACCCGACGCGTGTTTATGTTAATACTTGCGCGCCCACAGGGGTGGGCGACTTTAAAAACATTTAGATTTATTTTATTTAATCTTATATTATTATTTTTTACTTTACTGAATTGTTATTCCATCAGGGGGCTTGCAATCCCCCTATGTGATGGCATACTAGTGGTGACAGGTAGGGATGCACCGATATCGATTCCGATATAGAGTATTTGGGCAAATGCAAGGTAGGTGCATTTGGGCAAACTCTATTACTCGCCCAAATGCTCCGATACCTTTCCCGATATGGAACTTATCGGTCAGAGGAAGAATTCCTCTGACCGGCAGTGCCGTAGGGGAACATGGAGCCGGCTTCCCAGCCATCAGGAAGCCAAGCAGCGAGTAATGACCCGTGTCCCGACTTCCTGATTGGCTGAACAGCCGGCTCCTTGCTGATTGGCTGTAAAACACGCTTTCGAGCCAATCAGGAAGCTGGGAGGCGGGTCATGCTTCCTGATTGGTTGGGTAGCCGGCACAATGCTGATTGGCTGGGAAACCGGCTTCCTAGCCAATCAGTTGAGCTGGCCAAACAACATGGAGCCGGCTTCTCGGGCAATCAGGAAGCCGGGCAGCATGTCGTAACCCGCCACCCGGCTTCCTGATTGTCCGGGAAGCAGGCTCCATGCAAGCGGAAGCACCGGTATCCGTACACGGTATCGGTGAGCTCCCGAAAACAAAATATCGGTACACGTACTCGATACCAAAAACTGGTATTGGTGTATCCCTAGTGACAGATATCTTTTAAGGTGACATTAGGGGTCAATTAGACCCCTAATGTCACCTTTGCACCCCAGATAAGCTATTTGAGTGCATCGGCCCCTGGAAGCGATGTGGTGGCAGCTCAGCTGCCAGAATCGCTTCGAGTGTAAAGCTAACAGTCGGCTTTACACATTTAAACATAGAAACCTATGAGATATGTCGGTGGCAGCGAAAGAGTTGAAGTCCAACTCTCTGCTCTCCCTGCCCACCTCCTTCCAGGGCCACCCAGTATATGTTTACTTTTTAATAATTGCCTTTTTTCATAAGTCTCCAGGCCAGTCATGTGATACTCTACTTCTTCTTCAGATCTTGTCCTGGCAGTGGGATATGTAATGTACTGATAACCAGTGCCACTCTCATCAAGGCTCCTCTGTGTAGTGTGGTTCCAACTCTAATCTCTGAGAGCCTCCATATTGGAGCATATTCAGCAGTCGATAAATTGAATGCAGGTATGCCTGGGGGTGCCCCACGCCTCCTTAAAGGCACTTTGAAAACTTTGAGTGTGCAACAGCAAGTGGATCGTTCAGCTGGCAGCCATTAGTGCCAAGAGTTAAAGAAAACTTTTTGTTAAAATAAGGGGGAGGCGCATTCCAAAAATAAATCTTCCATACACTCTCTTTAATCCGTGAGCATAAATAACCTGTACACTGACACACAACTTTACGCTCCCACGTGTTCCACCATTATGGCTTCATCACAGACCCTGGCTTATCTTTGGAGTGTGGCGCCCCCTTTTTTACATTTGGAGTTATTGCCTGACAGGCCGTGGCATGCCCTTGGAGCCGGCACCCAACAAAAGCAGATGAGATCCTTGGATTGTGGAGGTGGATGTGAGCGTTGTATTTATTTTGTGTGATCGTCTGCTATCAAGGCTTGTTCTAAATTGTGCTAGTTATACATTGTCTGGGTGCCATTTTTGTTTAGCTTGGATGCCAGTGTAATGTACAGATAAGTACTTGGTGCAGGGCGCCATGAAAAAACCCTGCACATTAGGAATGTCCTCAGTCATCCAGGGTGAATAATGCTTTCTGTCATTCCACCTGGAAGACCAATGACCTCTTGTGGCAAAAATAAGTTACTATAAGAAGGGCGCCAGAGCGGGTCTGGTTTTTTTTTTTGTTTTTTTTTTTTAAACAGGATTAGTCCAGTGTTTGGACTATGATCTTGAAATATCCTTTTAATTCAAGCCAACCCATTAATCCTCAAAGCTCTCACCAATTTGCTTTTTTTTTTTT